AACCATGATGTATAATAGATCAAGGAGGCAGAGGAACCCAGTGAGACAGAGCACATATGTGCCTGCTACTAACAATCTGCATCGGAGGGGTGCTGACAGTGGACTCCATAATGGCAAAGGCAATGAGGCCAAAGCAGAGGTGGATGTGAAAATGTATTCACTATGAGAGACTTTGTTACGATAAAAACAAAAACATTGTCAGTGTAGCTTTTTTTTTTACTGAAATGGTGTGGGTGATATCCAGTAGTCCATCAGTACTATCCTGCTAAATATTAAATTATCATTAAATTAGTAAATAAATTATTTTCAGCTCTGCTGGTAGCACGGCTTTGTAGATCAAAATGTTGGTCTGTCAGTCCACCATTTTGGTTCAGACCTTCAGACTGGAATATCTCAGCAAATGTTGGATGAATTGCTATCAAATTTGGTACAGATGTTCGTGAACCCTACTTACTTTGGTGATCTTATGACTTTTGCTCTAGCACCACCATGATGTTGACCTTGTCTCTTTTTTAGTGAAACTTCTTGACAACTGTTGGATGGATTGCAATTAAATGTGGTAGAGACATTCTTGCCCCACTCAGGATGAATTGTAATAACTTTGGTGATCCCCTGACTTTTTATCTTGTGCCGCAATCAGGTCTTTTAACTCAAAATGTGTCCAATACTTGGGTTTCTAACTGAATACATTTCTAATTAATTACTTTGTCATCAGCCTCAGCTAGACTGCTTTGTGTTGATTAGCAAATGTTAGCATGCTAGCATTCCCAAAAGTAAGATGGTGACAATGACATACTGTACATTATACCTGCTAAACATCAGCATGTTAGCATTGTCGTTGTGAGCATCACTAAGCTTAACCTCACATAGCTGCAGACTCTTAGTCGCGATTGCATCTATGTTACAACTGCACAGCTGTATCAGCCAAGTGTTTGTTTCTGTTAACATTCACCTCAGTCACTTACAGTGTATGTTCCAACGCTGCCAGCTAGCACACTTGGCCAGCATGTTGAGCACTGTCTCCCATGGATATTTTATTTGTATCAGATCAGTCTCAGCATGTCCAAGATAAGCTTTCATCCACTTTTTTTTCCAAAACCCATAAACCCACCTATTAATCAAAGTTCCCTGAGAGATTGTTGAAAGACATTATTCTTCAGGCCAGTATCCCTCCATTTTTAAACATGAACACATAATCCGTCCATGTCCTCCCACCTGTGTTATTATTACTTTATTCACATTTTAGATTAATGCTGAAGACATTGAGACTATAAAAGAACACATATAGAATTATTTAGTAAACAAAAACGTGTTAACCCAGAATGTATAAAATGTATTTTGTTTTTCTTCAAAGTAACCACCTTTTGCTTTGATGACAGCTTTGTACACTCTTGGCATTCCCTCAGTTAGCTTCATGACCTGGAATGGTTTTCCAACAGTCTGTTCAATAGAACTCAAAGGAGTTCCCAGGCTGCTTTGCCTTCACTGTGCAGTCCAACTCATCCCAAACCATCTCAGTTATGTTTAGGTTTGGACTAATTGTGGACACAGGGCCAACTGACGCAGCACTCAATCACTGTCCTTCTTGTTCAAATAGCCCTTACAGAGCCTGGTGGGTCATTAGTGTTGTAGTACCAATCTTGGTCTCGAGACCGGTCTTAAGACCACTTTTTGATAGTCTTGGTCTCATCTCGGACTCGACCGCATTTGTACTCGGTCTCAGACATCGAGAACTCTGGATTTTATTTCCAGTCAAGACCATAACTTTGGGAATATTAATAAATTGCTTGTGCATTGTCTTATTTATTTGTTAACATCCTAACTTTGATTGGATGTAAAACTTATTTATTCAAATGCCACCAATAACCCTAATTAAAAATGTGTTGTTACCGTTAACGACTGTCCCCCTTCCCCGTGATGGTAAGCATGGAAAAGGAGTGTTGAATAAAGACAGTTAAGTTGATTTCAGCTCATAGTGTTTGTATGTGGGTGTTTTAATGTGAATGTGGATCTTTCAGATCAATATGAGAAGTACCTATGATCTCATACCACATTTTATTGTGTGTCATGTAATGTAACTGGTCTTGGTCTTGACTCGGTCTCGCCCTTCCTCGGTCTTGGTCTCGACTTGGTCTCAGCCCCTAAAAGTCTTGGTCTTGTCTCATTCTCAATAAACTCTGGTCTTGGTCTTTACTTGCTCTCGGTTTGGACGGTCTTGTCTACAACACTAGGGGTCATTGTCCTCTTAAAAAACAAATGATAATAATAATGATGTCCCACTAAGCGCAAACCAGATGGAATGGCACGTCGCTGCAGAATGATGTGGTAGCCATGCTGGTTATGTGTGCCCAGATTTTTGAATAAATCACCAACAGTGTCACCAGCAAAGCACCCCCACACCATCACACCTCCTCCTCCAGGCTTCAAGGTGGTAGCCACACATATGGAAACCATCCACTCATCTTTTCTGTGTCTCACAAAGACATGGCGGGCGGGTGCAAAAATCTCAAATCTCATCAGATTAAAGTAAAAATTTCCACTGGTCCACTCCTTGTGGTTCTTGGCTCGAGCAATTCTCTTCTTGTTGTTCTTCCTCAGTAGTGGCTTCATTGCAGCAAATGGACGCCTGATTCACACAGTTTCCTCTGAACAGCTGATGTTGAGATGGGTCTGCTACTTGAACTCTGTAAAGCATTTATGTGGGATTTAATCTGAGGTGCTGAGGTAACTAATGAATTTATCCTCTGCAGCAGAGGTAACTCTTGGTCTTCCTTTCCTTGGCGGTCCTTATGAGAGCCAGTTGAGGATACATTCAAAGTTCTTGAAATTTTCTGGATTGACTGACCTTCATGTCTTAAAGTAATGATGGACTGTCAATAACCTTTACTTAGTTAAGTGGTTCTTGCCATAATATGTCTTATTTTGAGCTCTTACAGCCTCTTACACTCAATCATTTACAAGGTGACATCAGAAAAGTCTGTGAGGGTTCAGAGCTCAGGGTTTAGGGGGGACATTGGGATTGGGCCTACCTCATGAAGCTGAATGAGAAAAGGCATACAGTGTGCAAAGCTGTCATCAAAGCCAAAGGTGGCTACTTTGAAGGATCTAAAATATAAAACACATTGTGGTTTGTTTAACACGTTTTTGTTTACTACATAATTCCAAATGCGTTATTTCATAGTTTTGATGTCTTCAGTATTAATCTACAATGTAGAAAATAATACAAATAAAGAAAAAACATTGAATGGGAAGCTGTGTCCAAACTTTTGACTGGTACTGTACATCCTTTTAACATAAATTAGGCATTTATCTAATATCAAAAGAAAGAATCTGTATCCTAATCCTAATCAATCAATCAATACTCAATGTATCAATACTTTTTTCTGAAAAACAGGAGCAAAACTTTACTTTCAGTCCTTGAGACTATGAGGTTGCCCACCAATTGTACACTGGACGTACAAAGATAACACTTAATAGGGATTTATCTTAACAAGTTCTGAAATGTTGTCGGATTTAATACATCGGATGCTATGAGATACTGCTTCACAGGGACACCTCTTATCTGAAGGGTTAGGATTAGGATTGCCACATTCATTAAAAAAAGATGATATTTGTACATTAATTTCAAGCTTGGCTGGTTGGTCCGCCACTTTCATCCAGACTGAAATATCTCAACAACTAATGGATGGATTGTCATGAAATTTTGTACAGACATTTGTGTTCCTTAGTTGACGTATTCTGATTACTTTGGTGATAACCTGAATTTTCCTTTAGTGCTTTCAGCAGGTCAAAGCTTTTGTACAGACATTCATGTTCCCCAGAGGATGAATCCTACTGACTTTGGAGATTCCCTGACTTTTCCTCCTGTGCCACCATCTCACCATATCATGTGCTTTTGAGTGAAATGTCTCAGCAATTACTGGATTATATAAAATTTGGTACAGTCATGCCCCCCTCAGGATGAATTGTAACTTGATCCCCTGACTTTTCATGGAGTGCCATTATCAGTTCAAAATTTCCAGAATTTCCAACAACAGCCTCAACTGTACTATGCATTCAGTGCTAATCAGCTAATGTTAGCGTGCAAAAATGCCAAACTATAATGGTGTACAGGATAAACATTATACTTTCTTAACATTGTCACACTAGTGTTGTCAGTGTGATCCGATTAGCTTAGCGAGGTACGCATTAGAGTACGCAATAAGCTTAGCTGCGGTTGCTATGTGGTGCTTGTCTAGGCTTATTTTGTATTTCACATAACCATTATCGACAAAAGATCTGCGTAACTGCTGGTGATGTCTGCCTTTCCTATGAAGTGTTTCTTCGTGTGTGATTGCAGTGAAAAACAACACCAAAAAGCCAAGTGACTGACACCAAAACCAAAACCACTGGATCAGAAAGGTCATGGTGGGATTTTTTTTTATTTTACCCAGTTTACATAAGCAACTTTTGCATGTCATTGCAATTCTTTTACACCCCCCCCCCCCCCCTCCCTACATAATGCCTTTCCGATGTATTACTGATGTGTTTTATGAATCAATACTCAGAAAATGCTATGCTATGCACATTTTAACTCTGACATGGCATGATACCCTTTCAGTAGTCAGTTATAAATTATTGCATCACAGTTATTATTAAATTATATAATATAACTGATGATACAAAATGTTAATAATAATAATAAATAATAATAATAATAATAATAATAATATTAATAATGATAATGATAATAATAATAAAGCTATAACTCAATTTAGATAAAAAGAAGTTCAGCTGAAGCTAATGTTTAACTGTATTTTTCATTTCATTTCATTTTTATAATTGCCAAATGTCATTTCTACATACAAGCCAGAAGCCCAGAAACCACAGACAGAAACACAGCCGAACACATCGTGGTTTTACAGGTAAGTGTGCTTTCGGTTATGATTTATTATGAAATGACCGGTCTTGAGCGGCCTTGATCTGCTCTCGCGGTGTCCCAGCGTCACGTGACGGCTCTTACGTGTCACGTGAGATTGTTTTGTTTGGGCCTCGGTCCTGCAGACTGGAGGGAATTTGAAATGGCAAGAAACGAGGAGAAGCAACAAGGGAGACTGAACAGACTGTGGCTTCAGAAAGAGAGAGAGGGTAAGCAGCTAGTTGCCTGAGCACATGCTGTAATTTAAGTACTATTTGCCCGATAAAAACACCCTGCTTTAGCTGCTAGCTAACAGCGATGCTAATTCACGGTTTGTTATTTTTAACTACATCTGGTTGAAATGAAATCGCTGCCCGGGACTAAATCTTCCCATAATGTCTTCATCATCCACCTTGTAGGAAGTAATATTAAAAGCTAGCCCTCCCTTCCTTGTAGTGCTGCTTTTTCTCCTAACAGCTAGCATTCAGCATGTTGCTCAGAGTAAACTTAGCTCCTTGAGGCACATAAATGAATGTTTTCTTTCAATGTTTCATTTACAGAGGGACGCCTCAAAGATGTACATGAGCGGAGACCCAAGCTGGTAATAAAAAAGTTATAAATTGTTCTCAAATTGTCAGTTTTTACTTGGATTACCTTGTTTCAGCCGCTGTGACAGTTTAACTGGTGGCAAAATTAACTGGTGATAGTCCCAGATGTGTCGTAGGCGTGGCCTCAAGATCCATTGACTGCAAACCAGGAAATACGTTCTGATAACTTTGTTTATCTACTTTATATATCGTCATGTAGATATCTGCTTCTGAGTGTAGTTTGCAGGCTACATCTTTAGCTTGACGATGATTCACAGGGAGCTCTCCCACCTGCAGATTAGTTTAAAGCGAGGACTGTGAGCGTGATCACGGAGGTGACTGTATCGCTGTTCAAAACACTGCAAAACCTCAATAAACCGTCCAAATGTTCATGTTTCTGTCTGATTTGTGCCACGGTCGGTTTGAATGTGTTCTTACTTTCATAGGGAAACAGGCTGAGGTGTTTGACACTCGGATGGAGAAGTGGAGATGCTGTTAGCTGCAGCAACGCGCCCAGATTAACCTGTGACACAGCTTCATACCATCGATCACCTTTATATTCCGCTATCTTTGCAATACCAACATCGGCTTGCCAGTAAACATTTGTATCATGTATCGTTATTTACCTGACGTCGAGTTGCTGTGAGATGAACAGTTTGTCATTCGGCCTGTAAGTGAAACAGTCTGGATGTTCAGGCTGAGTTACACTCTGCCCGATCACAGCGTGCAGACAGCTTTATTATTTTATTTCAAAGTGTAAAACCTCTACAGTAGTAGGCTAATAGTCTCCCACTGTGTACCACAGACTGCAGGTAGCCTGATTCACTCAGTCTGAAAGAGGGGGGGGGGGGAGCAGATCATTGTCAGACATTTTTTCATGTTCTCATCACACATCCAGACAAGGATGCACGGATTGATGGAATTTGCAGTTGCCCCTTAGCTCATCTGGTACAGCAAACTCATGAGACTGAGTTTCTATATAATCAGTGACTAATCTTTATTGTTGTCTTCTTTAGTCACAGTACGGTCTCTAGTTCTCTATGTAATATGGCCCAGAGCTTGCACTGCATAGGAACCCTGTTAACGTGGAAAGTGTGTTTTGTCTTGTGACACCACAGCTGCTGTGTAGCCTTTGTTAAGGATTTGATTTTGGTGGGTCTTAATAGTGACAGGTAGGAAATTATACAGCTAGTAATTCTGAAATATGTTGTCCAGCTTTATCTCTTTTCTTTTCAGTCTACTCTTAATTCAGCTTCCTCTGTGAAGAAGTGGATCCCCAGCATCAAGAGTGAAATAGAGTATTATTTGCAGGTAAGTGAATTGTTAGTAATGCGTTAAAACAGAAGAGGGTTTGTAAAGACACTGAATATCCTGCCTAAAGTTCAACGTCTGTTTTTGTCTTCTCCCTCTCAGCAATCACAGCTGTCTCACTACCCAGAGAGGAAGATAGCCGAGTTTCAGCTGCACATTGAGTCTTTAGAAAAGGAGTACAAAAGCTTCATTGCCAAACTACGAGTTCTTGATCCCTCCTGCAAACATAAGCCGTGGACTCCTCGTGCATACTGCAAAAGGAGAGCAGACACACAAGACTCTTCAAGCATCGGTCAGTGTGTTTAAGGTTAAGACCTACATAAAGTAAACGCTTGTCATGTGTTCTTATTAGCCAAGAGCTTCTTTTGACTCTCTTTTGTCATCTAAGAATGTAGCATATTGACAACAGTACCAGAAATACAAGTAACTACAGGTTTAGCACGACAGAATATCCCAACAATGAGGCTGACCCTAATGGGGAATGTTGGGAATTTTGGATGACAGCAAGACATCAAGATTTGCACTTTATGTTCATATTTTAGGAGTTGCACATATAGTGGGCATCACATTTAAACAAAAATTTATTCTTAAAATATCAATTACAGATTTGGTGTTCATAATGTATTATGTATTTGTAGTAGGGCTGAAACGATTCATCGATTAAATCGATTTATTCTTTGAGTCTATGCTTCATTTGATCCATATAACTATATAGCACACTGTTACACGACGTGATTATGATGGTGCTGAAGTGGAGGAAGAGAGAGAAAATAGCGAGGGACGAAGAAGAAAGTGTCCAAAGGATTGGATTATTTCAAGCTAAAAGAAAACAACAATTCTGTGATGTTACAGTACGTCCACCATAAAAAAACAAAACTTATTTCGCCTCGGCAACCGCATGACAGCACCTGATCAGAAAGCACCCGGTCTATCATCAAGTCCACAGAGAGGACCACAGACAAAGTAATATTAACAGCAACTTCAGCATTTAACTGAAATCATGATTGATAATTGAGTTGAAGGCTATCAAAAGTAATCCGCAATCCTCAGGTGTAAATGTATACACGTGTGTTTGTTGTTGTCCGCCTGGTTGAGCCGTAAGTTTGAGTTGAAACATCATGAGTTAACTTACACAGCTGATCCCATTACTGGTGGGGCGCGCCGCCGCCGCCAAGCAAAGGTACTTCATAAACGACGAATCAATGAAATAATCTGTAGAAGCTTTGAGTACTAAAATCATCGTTAGCTGCAGCCCTAATTTGGAGATGTACCATGTTATTTTCAGTGAGGTGCCGTTTGGGGATATTCTCTTCACTCTGCCATTGCAGCACACAGCAGGTGTTATATATTCTTGTCATACAGCACATTGCTGCAGCACGTCTTTTCTCCCTGTGTGTTGACCGCTCTGTTTTAGCTACCGAGTGAAGCATCTCACTCAGAAATAGCTGCATTGCTGTTCCTTTAGACCAGTAGCTGACCTTTCTCCATCTGTGTTTCTTCATTTACAGTGAAAGTCCCTCGGCCCTGTGAGTCACATGATGGTTGCAGTCAGTGGGGTAGAGGTTTGAACGAGAGTGACTTGGCCTGCAAATGGGCAGGAAGTCCTAAAACCTCTGAGGCTGTTTGTGCAGACCAGGACCAACCCCTCTCCTTTGACCACACAAGGCTGGCCGTGGTGGCTGCTGCTTTCAGAGGTTCGTCACTTCAGGGAGGTGCCTCTAAGACACAGAGCCTAGCCAGGGTGCTGCAGTCTGGCCTGCCAAACCTTGTGAACGCTTCATTAAGGCAAACATTTTCAGCCCAGAGCGGCGACACAGAGAATGACGATGGGGCAACGATGGGATCTGCTGTCAGGCAGAACAGTGACCTCCAAGAGAATATGTCTGATTGGAAAGCAGCACAGAGGATACCTGGGAAATCATCGCAAACTGTGACAACAGAGGAGAAGTCAGGTCATGTCCTGGGACTAGACTGTTACTCTTCCTCCGATGAGGAGTGTCACTCATAGTATTGTTTGATCATAACATACAGTGGTTCACATTTTTCCACATTTTGAATTGCAATGACTTTTTTATTATGCAACCTCTTGTTGCTCTGTCATATGGACAAAAGTAATACCACGATATTATGACCTCATCATTATGTTGATGAGTGTTTTGCATTTTGCATTTCAGTAAAGCAAAACCTGTAAACATTTCCCTCATTTTCTCAAATATTTAAGATGTTGTGACAGACTTTAGTGAAATGTAACCTATTCTTTTAGACCCTAGGACTGTTAGTCCATATGAACATGTAATATAGAGTAGCTAAACTTTGATATCGAGTTAAAGCCCCACTAACAAGATCTGCTGTGTAAGGGAAAAGGTATGTTAGCAAGAAAGACGTGAGTAATGTCATTCAGGTTTGAGAAATTCTTCGCCACATTTGTACAATCAGTCATCATGACCACAACTATCTCCATTATGCAACAGAAAGCAGGAAAACTGTGAGAAGAAAACAGAAGTCGCTAGAGAGACTTACTGATTCATTGATTCATTTTAGGCTTTTGATCTGGTAATATTAACTGGAGCAGCAGCATTTAACCCGACATGGTTAGACCCCAAAACTCCACCCTCCCACTTAACCCACTCTGTGCTGCTGCTGCGAGGACCGGTTTCAGCATGACACTTCTGGGAAACAGACACATCAGCTTGTATAGTGCAGACACCCTGTGCAGTTTATGGTTACGCTTGACGTAGTTACCCTTTTAGTTAGAGCTCTGAACGCTGCAAGGTGGGTTTGTCTTTGTCTCTGCAGGGGCCTGGAGAAACGAAACAAAACCTTTGTGACAGTGGACAGAGCTGAGACTTTGGGAACTCCCATTGCAGTTACCAAAATACATGCAAAAACACCAAATGAACTTTTACGCAATATACAAGACTGGCTTAGCTGATCAAATTAAGTCATAATGAATTTTTTTTTCCATCTCTGAGGTTGGAAAGATACCCTTTATCCTGAACCGCCAACACCCACCAAACATTGCAAGTGACATTAGTAATTTTCTTGATTAACCAACAGATTGGAACTGATGTCTTCTGGAAACTGTTGCAACCACAGTGAAGGTACAGCGCAATTGCTGCGTGTCCTAGGATATGAACCCAAATGTGGCAGAAAGACCACAATGATATTAACTCGTCACTGAGTGGGGAGGAAAGCGGTGTGCTTGTTCAGCTTTCCTGTAAGCACATCTCTGAGGTATTGCTTGGGGTTATTTCTCACCTCTGTAAAGTGGTGCTGTCTCGCTACAAGCTTTTCATAAGCAGACAGCACGAAAGCCAATGTAGCGACATATATCCTTTTCATGTACATATAACCTTTTCATGTGGCAGCAACATCTTCCCACCAAGAATACGCTGTGTGCTACTGAAACTACTGCCTCACTGTTTACTAACACACTGTGCCCCATGAAGACTGATAGAATAACACATTTTAATAATATTCCACTTTTGAACAGGTTAAACACTCAAGATAAATATTCACACTCAGGATATGGCTGAAAAGATGCATCAGTGATGCCCCTGGAAGAAAGAAAAATCCCAAGCAATGTTTTTTCCCCTCTTTTTTTCACTTATTCCCAAGCAATGTTAGAAAGTATGTAATCTGGGCCACCAGCTAGATTGAAAAAAAAAAAAAAAATTTCTGGCAGGTGAGCGTGTTAGTGGTTGCTCAATCTTTCCTTTCGTGGAATCAGAAAAAATTGCTCTCTATCTGACAATTGCTCTGTGGTGGTAAGTGAGGTGGAGGTCAGCTGAAACCTCTTGCTTCCTTTCCCTTCAGACTGCAGGTGACAGTTTTCTATATGCACTCTGAAAAACCAAAGTTGGGCTGGTAAGCACATAAAAGACCCAGATCTTAATGAAGTTAGTTATAAGTAAATACCGTGTAGCAAGTAGGCCTACTCATAAAAAACTTGATGTGATGTGGAAGTTAATGAAAACTAACATGCACTTAGCATAAGTCCATGGTGTGTCTATGTGTGGGAGGGGCTTGTGGGTGGTGAGTCTTGACAGCTGAAGCTTTTTTTTTTTAAGACAGAGGTTCTCAGACAAAATTACACACCTCCTTTGTGCAGAGGCGAAAGCTGCACACACACAGTTTGTCTCTCGGCAGGACCTGCACCATGAGCCATGACCAGAACTACCCCTTCCCACAGGTGTTCCTTGTGGACAGTGGTGGAGGTCAGCAGCACTCTGCCCAGCCGCCGAGTCTTGTACCCTGCTGGTCCTTCCCGCCTGCCCAGGAGAGGGTGAGGGGCCGTGGGAAGAGCCGGGGCTGCATGGGAGTCAGCCCCGGCGTGGCCCTGGTCGTGCTGATGCTCTTCCTGCTTGTGTTCGCGGCCCTGGGCTTTGAAGCCTACCAGATTCAGAACATGCAGAAACAGCTGAGAGAGATGAGAGAGGTAAGGAGCCATTGGGTGTGATGGATATGGAGATGCTTGAAAATCTGAGCTTTTATAGAATGAATAAGCTACCGATGACTGCAGCTGACTGTGTGTGTGTGTGTGTGTGTGTGAGTAAATAAAATAGGTTTGAGGTTAAAACCAGGACCAGTGACCAGTGTGTGCAAGGTTAAAAGTAGGTCAAGATGTTGTGAAGTGATGACTCTTTGTAAAGTATAGTGAAGTAATCATTGAGCAACGGTTGCCAAGAAATAATAATAATGTCAATAATAATAGTATCTCTTTGTTGCTTCTTATGCAGTTTTAATTGGGGGAAAGTTTCAAATATAAAATGTGCGACTTCTCTCACCTTTGCTGGGAGGTGAAGGGAGGTGTGATGTAGGAGAGTGGAAAACCCAGCTGGAAAGTTAACACAGCATTGCAAAGTTTAATAGTTAATTAACCTGTCATGTGAAGAGTTAAAGCAGCTCAGTGCACTGACATTTAAAAATGCAAACCAAGGACTTAACTGTTCCATCTGTGGTCACCGGTCCAGTGAGACAGGAAATCCTCTCTCTAGCGCTCTTCGAGGGCCTTTAGATGAAAAGCACTGAGATGCAGGCGTCTGTGTGATGTGGTATTGATATTCCTCTGTTTCTCTTTTGTCTGCCTCAAGGTAAACCCTGTGACTGAGTATAACACAGCTCAGAAGCAAATTGGTAAGTGAAGACACCTCTCACCACACATTAATTATCCCAGACAGAGGAAAATAAGAGGTGCTGTAACTCTAATCTGATGGCTGTTTCAGGTCTCTATGAACCGGAGTTGAAGGAACAAGAAGTAGACAACAGACCCACAGCACACGTGATGGGTAACAATAATACAATTTAACCTACACCACATGGTTGTCTGTTCCACATAGGACTGAAAGAGGTGACATAATTTCTCTCCTCTTGCAGGGCGGATTGAAAAAACAGAATTCCCTAAGACTTTGCGATGGGAGCCTAATGCAGGTCGGGCGTTCACATCCGGAGGAGTGGCATACCAGCCTAAAGATGGTGCTCTGCAAGTCAACGAGACCGGACTCTACCACATTTACTCACGAGTGGAGCTGATCTTTAAGGACTGCTCTCCTACATCCTCGTTCGTTCACACAGTGTTTGTGAGGAGAGCGGGACGCCCCTCACCGGTGACCCTGATGGAGGCCCACAGAGCCGGTTTCTGCGCTCAGCAGCCGGGGCACGCCTGGACCACAGAGAGTTACCTCGGCTCCGCCCTGCAGCTGCAGAAACACGACAGAGTTTTTGTGAATTTATCGCACCCTGTTTATCTGAGTCATGCACATTATGCCAACTTCTTTGGTCTGTACAAGATCTGAAGAGCTGGGAGTGATGGCTTTGTGTTTTAGTGTCATAATTTTACTCCAATGAAAGAATGTAAACTGCTCAGAATGTCTCAGGCAGGAGTGAATCTTACTCATCACTTTACCCAAATGATTGCAATGTTGAATGTGATTCTTATGACTATAAAATAATGTCATAACTGCACTGAATAGCATAACATAAAAGGGTACAAAACTCAGAGACAATATTGCACAGTCTTTATTGCCAGCTTTAAAATTGGTGGTGAAATAAATTGAAGCAATTTCCACACTTGTGCTTAAACAAATATTGTGCATGCTGAGAGAATCAGTTAACACTAATGCGCTGGTTTAGTTGTAGCATCTTAAAATATTTATTTTAATGTGGGTCTGACACTTATGTTGTCTAAATATGTGCTTATGAACATGAAAAAGTGTTATATGATGGTTGTTTGAAAGTAAATAAATTTAAGTTGTTTCTTTTATTTGGTGAATGAGGGAGATGTTTTGTTAATGTCATCTGAGAGTGTTTAATGTTTTAGTAGGTGTTCATTACTAGGTAGACTAGTAATCAACACCCACATGTGTTTTGTTCATGACCACTGGAAAATATTAGAATAGTAAGACACCAACTCAGATGTGGCTCTACTCCTGCTAATGCACTTGATTTCCATATATTCCACTGAGGTACAGCAGAGGTCTAAAACAGAAGGAGACGCAGTTAAACTCTCCAAGGTAGCTAAAATAAGGAGATGAAAAGAAACTTTACCTCGTTAATTGAAAGTTTAACATTTCGCTTACAAACCACAGTGCAATGCTCTGTTGCAGTTTGACACCCTCATTGCACTGTTCTTTTTCAGTACACCACAGATACATATGCTAGTCAAGTACAAGAAGAAGCGCAGGCTGGGCACAGCTGAGAGGACAGAACCGTGGTGGGTTTGACGTGTGTTTCCTTCCTGTGTGAATAACTCAAGGGTCTCGCTTCTGTGCAGGCTGATTTTTGTGAAAGAGTTTGTTTCCTTTTATCCACGTGGTGAATGTCTAAACTCATTTATGTTCATTTTTGTCTGAAGACAGGGCGCGCCTCACTCAATAAACATGAACAGATTTTTGTGTTTCAGTCATTTTAGGCTAAATCACAAACTACTCACAAGAGTTATGTTTTTGTCTGCTGTTTCTCATTAGCATGAGGGGTATTGCATAGAGTTGAGCTAATGCATCATCTTCATTCATTAGTCTTCTGTTACTGTGCAACAGTGGACTTTCAGCGCAGAACACAACATTTCAGGAAGCAAATGATCAAAAGAGAAAAAAGTAATATTTCACAAAGCTAATCAGTTTGTTTCAAGATTCAGGTTTACTGAGTTATTTTTCTTTTCACTTTTCTGTGAGTAGAACCACAGATTTGAGGGTGTTCATCGCTACACTCAGCAGCTTCATTAAAATATCTCAGTCCAGTCTTCACTCAACAGACTTGTGGTTGCATTTTGTTCCAAGAATAACGTATTACTCATCACAGTACTGGTAGTTCTTTTGTGTTTCACAAGCAGATGGCAAACATGAACACCAACATGTATGTCGAGGCAGCCACAGCAAGTACGGGAAAACTGAGCCTCATTAACAGAGACTCAAGTCTGCGGTGTAGTTCATACATTTTACTGATAAAACTGAGAATGATATCAAATGAGTAGTTTTTGTTTTCGTGTTTCCACTTCTGTTCATATGCACAACCTCTCACCAGAAACTCATTCATACACATTCACAATTTGGGGTTCCATGTCTTGCCCAATTAAGGACAAATGCCCAAATGCAGTGATCCCCCCCCCCCCCCTTAAAAAATCATTTAAGTTTTGATTAAAAAGCTTTCAATATAATATTTTTTTCTCATTCTCCTCAATACATAATAAATTCGCCTCAGGGTATGTTACAGTTAACCAGACAATGAAGTGAAAAGTAACGTTTTACTCCTTGTGATTGACACTGAAACATACATTTCCTGCCTGTGTTTCAGATATAACAGCTACACCATTTAAAAGCTGACACTTGTAACTAGTTTGCATCACATTTTGAACACACTGGCTTAAAAGTGCTCTAAGATACAGACAGAAATGTCAAAAATGTTTAAAGCATCCCCAGTCTCCCCTACAATAGTTTAAACATTAATAAATAAATCCTCTGCTAAATCTAAAAAAAATGAGAGCAAGCTCTAGGTAGCAGATAAATTTAATCTATAACCAAATCACACATCCTGTTGTACTTATGGCTGATTTGTGTCACTGCAAAGAGGCAGTAAAGGCAGTTACTTAGTTGCAATCTTAGGCCACTGAAAATTACACCTTTAATCGGGGCTGGAAATTAGGCTATTTCTGTGTAATAGACAAATACAAATTAATGATACACTATGGATAAAAAACGAAGTCAAACCTCCTATCACAAATACTAGTGCACTACTTATAAATCCCATTAAAAAAGGACAAAGTCATTATACAGTTAACTGAGGTTTTTTTTTTATTATGCCTGATTTAAGGGGTCCCTCAGCACCCCTACTTGCCGTGTCCATGGTTCTGTGATACTCTGCCCAAAATCTCTCTAGACTAGAAAACTCTCTGTAGAAACATGTATACTGTTTCTGAGCTAGTTGGAAGCAGACAGGGCTTCACAATCTTCTTGTCTTTCATCAAATTACACACAGAGACAATGATAGTAATTTTTGGAAAGTATCTAAATGCTAGGAGTTTAGCCATAGTGCTTTATAACAGGCTGAATAATGCACATTTTCAGGTTACACTCATTAGTTGTGGCCATTTCAATTAATCTTTTTGCTGTTATTGCTTTATTCCTTCCACACCTCCACCTTCAAATAGCAATGCATTTGCTGTGCTTTGAACAGTAAATCCAAGTCTAAGCATTTTTCTTTATGATTCCGTCTGCACAGACTGAAACAATTTACAACACATGTCTCTATAAAGGATGGCACCTTGAGACCACACAAGCAGCCATTTGAGTTCACTTGACATAGGCTTCATCCACAGTACTACGTTTTCATTTTAAAATGGCAGACAGAGGACAGATTTAAATGGCAGAGCAAATGTTGCAAGGCAGAATGTGTACTGCCAAAGTTTAAAACCACAGAATTAGATCAAACTAAGATAGGTTTATTAAGCAACTGTGTGGAAACTCAGTGCCTTCACAAGTTATAGGCAGAGGCTTTCTGTACCACTAAAGTGAAGGCAAAATATTTTGCAAAGCATCTAAACCGAAGTTTACTCATCACATCCCTGCCAGAGCTCATGTGACATTTGTACAAAACTTAATGATGAACTCTGGGCCATGATTCATGTTAGAAACACTTTTTTTTTATGACATCAATAAACATGAATATAAAACACTGATTTAAAGGCTAGGCTAGACATTGTTTCAAGTATGTCTTAAAACAGTACTGACATGCATACATTACTGGCTGCTGTTATTGTTCCTCCTGTCCATCTGACCATGAAGCAACCCCTTCCTAATACAAATTCAATGTAGGAGATTGTCCACTGTCGTTTTTCTGGGCTAAAGTTTAAACACGGCTAATTTGACAGAATAAAGAGGGTATTTGTACTCTTTCATTTGTATTTAGATACCCACTGGGTCTTTTCAGAAGAGAAACAACTAAAACTATTTCAGCATACTGTACAAACTGTCTCTGCGTGTGAATATTGTTTAATGCAAATTTATCTATCCTTTGAAGTGATATATTATATGTTTACTATATTCAAAGGAATTACAATTAAGAGGGCTGGCAGGGGTAAAATGTCCCACAGAATCCAGTTACACTACGGTAATGGCAAAAGTATGTAGACACCCCTGTCTCAATACTGGTGTGTACTCTGTGGATGGTTTTTATTCTGGGTTAGTTTCAGTTAAAGCCCTGAATATTGGGCTGAAGTGTTTCTCTACAACATTAAATATTCACAACATTACTAACTAAGCTTAACTTTAAGTTCAACATTAAAAACGCTTGTTGTTCTGCTTCCGTGACCAAACAACCCACCAACTGTCATCAAATTCTGATTCAAATCCTGATTTGTGCACCGTAGTACATGACATCACCTTTTTCGAACTAAGCTCTACCCACTTGAAACCATGTGAGAAGACCTTAGAAACAAAACCAGAAAAGCAGAAAATCTCTGACAGGAAATGAGCTAAACATATGTAACTTTGGCAGAAAACAGCGTGTTCATGGAGGATCCAGTCAGTCATAGTAAGAAGGTGATTGAGAAAATTGAGAAAAAACATTTCAGGGCCTTTGAAGGAATCTTAACGCTACATCATGCACCGATATTTTAGACAATAGTGAGCTTCCAACTTTGTGGCAACAGTTCGGGGAAGGTCCTCTCCTGTTTCAACATGACAATGCCACTGGACAGAAAGTGAGGTCTGTAAACCTGTTCTAAGGTTTGGTGTAGAAAAGCTTGACTGGCCGGTGCAGTGCCCTGACCTCAAACCCATCCAACGTCTTAGGGATGAACTAGAACACAGACTCAGAGCCAGAACATTTCGCCCAACATCAGTGGTCGACTTAAGTGATGCTCTTGTGGCTGAATAGAAGAGTATGCTTAGAATAAGCTGTTCAACAATCACATTTTTTGTAATGCACAAAATCCACGTGCTGATGTGTGTAAGAGTGCCCCCTTTTTACAAGCTGCAGATGATACTTAATGACCCATGTTCTTCCATTGTGTCAAGGAAAAGCTGAGGAAGCAAAGACAAACTGAAACAAAAGCAGAGTACCATTTTCACCTTGTCTTTGGCGCCATCTGTCACATAATAATAAATTACATTTTTAATATGACTGCAATGAGACAGCAGCAAGAAAGGAAGACAAGAAAAAAACTGCTTTGTCAACAAAAAAATGTGGCAACACTTTCTATGAAGGTCATCGCTATAATGACTTATGCATATATTTATAACACGATATAATGCGTCCATAAGACATTATAACATTAAATCAAAAGTTCATAATACATTATGAACTTTGCTATAGCGCCTAATGCATGTTTGTAAGTGATTATAACAGTTGTTATAATGTCTTATGAACGCATTATATTGTGTTATAAATATATGCATAAGTCATTATAGCGATGACCTTCATAGAAAGTGTTACCACATTATTTTGGACAAAGCAGTTTTTTTCTTGTTGTCCTCCTTTCTTGCTGCTGTCACCTTGCGGTCATATTAAAAATGTAATTTTTTGAACATGTGACAGATGGCGCCAAAGACAAGGTGAAAATGGTACTCTGCTTTTGTTTCAGTTTGTCTTTGCTTCCTCAGCAAGTCATTATAGCGATGACCTTCATAGAAAGTGTTACCAAAAATGTTTTTTTGAACACACTATGTAAACATTCACAGTGAAGGATGGGATGTGAACCCTTGGATTTAATAACTGGTTGAACCTCCTCTGGCAGCAATAACCTCAACCAAACATTTCCCGAAGTTTCAGATTAGACCTGAACTATGTTCAGGGGGAATTTTGGACCATTCCTCTTTACAAAACTGTTTAAGTTCAGCAATATTCTTTAGATGTCTGGTGTGAATCGCTCTCTTGAGGTCATGTCTCCAGAAGGCGTATTTTCTTCTGTTGTAGCCATTCTGTTGTTGATTTACTTCTGTGCTTTGGGTCGCTGTACTGTTGCATCACCCATCTTATGTTGAGCTTCAGACAGGTGGCCTTACATTCACCTGCAAAATTTCTTGATACACTTTTTCTGTCAATGATAGCAACCCTTTCAGGCCATGAGGCAGGAAAGCAGCCCCAAACCACGATTCCCCCTCCACTATACTTCACAGCTGGGATGAGGTTTTGATGTTGCCTTTTATCCTTCATACATAGGTTTGTGTGTTCCTTCCAAACAACTGAACTTCGGTTTTATCTGTCCACAGAATATTTTGCCAATAGTGCTGTGGAACATCTAGGTACTCTTTTGCAAACTTCAAACGTTCAGCAATGTTTTTTTTGGACAGCAGTAGCTTCCTCCGTGGTGTCTTCCAAGAACTCCATTCCTGTTCAGTGTTTTACATATCGTAGAGTTGTCGGGATGCTAGCATGTTCCAGAGATTTCTGTA